ACCGCGCCACTCTTGTATATCGCCACTGTCTCTATCTTTCCTGTGGGTCCCTTGTGTGCTGCTGACCTTCAATCCCAAACACCCCCCTCTGTTAGTATGGAATTGCTATGCTAATGAGGACATGCTGCTAGTTTTTCTCTGTCTGCCTTCCTATCGGCTGTGGTAGATTGTAGGTATGCCACAGGCCCACTGCCTCCAAATCAAATCAAATCTTGCTCTCCTGCTATACATGTCTTTCCCCCCTACTGCAATCCATAACTATCCATCTGATCAGTAGGGGGAAAAGAAGTTAGTAACAAAGTCTGTGTGAATCTTGATTTTGGTGTGTGCGCTTGTGTGTGTTTTTCAAACTTTTCTGGCTTTTATCGCGTCCTTGTGCACACTGTGTTTGATCATGTGCTTGCTTGCATGTGCGTGGTTAGACGATGGCGCTGGGGAAGCGCGTACGTAGCAGAATAACGTCCAAAGATTTAAGTGACTTTGTCTGAACCTAACCTTATCTTTCCTCAACAGCAAACTTTTGTCGACAGCGCAGAAGATTCATAGAACTTCAGATCAGAGAGCCTCAGAGAGCGGACTGACTTTGAAACATGTGTTTTGACAGGATACGTTTCCACCAGCGTAAATAGTGAAAGAGAGGGGGAAACGGCTTGATCTGAAATTGCATAACAAAAATGTCTGAATTCCCATCCTTTATCAGGCATTTTGCCTGCAGAGTATCAGCCCTCACTTTATTTTCATACAAATGATTGTTAATTCGACTGCTCATATGAAGTACGGATGAATAGAGCTGGAATAAAGGTGCAGTAGCTATGTTGTGCAGTAATGCACATGGAGACGTTCTCATGTGAATGTCCGTTTCAATCTTTCTATGCAAAAATGTCACTTAAAAAGACATTTAAAGCTTAACTCAAAGCATAAGAAATCCACTGATTTAATTTTAAATCTTAACAACACGCCAGGAGAAATGAAGGGAGGTTAATGATATGTAAATGAAATATGGAAAAGTGCTGCAGCGAGGAGGAGAGAATATCAATTGATTTTTTTTCTTTATTAGAGATTTGCTCTAGTTGCTTCACGCAGTTTGAATGTGGAGTAGTCGGAGCAGTCGTAAGAAGTCAGCTCGCCTGCTAATTACTGACATTAATTTATTTAAGAGACTACAATAAGCACAAATAAAACACCTTAAACTGTGATCTTTACTACAGAAACTGCAGAGGTCTTGCTATATTTAGACATTTAAGGAACTGAGCTGTAAATATTAATGCACTGAGTCTGCAGGGACTTGTTGAGGTTCAAAGAAGCAAATGATTTTAAACAGTTTGTGGATTTATATGAATGCTTACTGTGTGTAAAAAGAGGCCCATTGGTAAGAAGCAGCCAATATAGAGGTGCTAGAAAGGGAA